CTAAGGCAGCTGCACCCTGGCCCGCCCATCAGAAAACAAGAGACCTGAGAACCAAGAAAGGCGAGGCTCACTGAGCCATTTATCCCTCCACCCTTCAATTAATGCCACATGTGTTTCATGGCCTGGTTGGCACAACAAACCTTAAGTATTGAAGCCAAACATCATTTGAATGGGGAAACATGAATGCCTTAGAGCTTGATGTTCACAAATCCCCGAGAAGGGATATAAATCACATGTGGTAATATTGTTGTCAGGGGAACTGTTGTTGTTCTTGTTAGGTGCCCTCAAGCTGGCTCCGACCCATAGCGACCCTGTGCACATTAGAAGGAACCACTGCACAGTCTGTCCTACCCTTACAATTGTTCCTATGCCTGAGTCCATTGTGGTGCCTCTGTGTCAATCCATCTCACTGAGGGCCTTTCTCTTTTTCACCGCCCTGCCCTCCCACTTTACCAAACATGATGTCCTTCTCCAGGGACTGGTCTCTACTGACAATATATCCAAACTATGAGAAAGTCTAGCCATCCTTCCCTCTAAGGATCTCTCTAGCCTTACTTCTTCCAATACAGATCCATTTGCCTTTTTAGCAGTCCATTATACTTTCAGTATTTTTCTCCAGCACCACAATTAGAATGCATCTATTCTACTAGTTTTATTTATTCAGGCATATGACACAATGGAGAATACCATGACTTTCACAGGCATATGACACAATGGAGAATATCATGACTTGGGTTAGGCATAACTTAATCCGCAAAATAACATCCTTACTCTGCAATACTCTAAAAAGGCCTTATGCAGCAGATTTACCTAATGCAATACAGCTGTTTTTCTCTTGACTGTTTCTTCCATGAGCATTGGTTGTGGATCCAAGCAACATGAAGTCCTTGATAACTTCACCTTTTTCCCCATTTATCGTGATGTTACCCATCATTCCAGTTATGAGGATTTTTCTCTTCCTTACATTAAGCTGTAATGCAACTGAAGGCTTCATTCCTTGATGTTCAAGAGCAAGTATTCTAATTCCTTTTCACTTTCAGCAAGCAAGGTTGTGTCATCTGCATATCAAAGGTTGTTAATAAACGTTCCTCCATTCCTGGTGTCACCCTCATATTCATATAATCCAGTTTCTCTGATAATGTAGTCAGCATATGGATTGAACTACTACAATATTCTGATTGGTTTATAGTAACTGAGTAAGTTAATGGGGGAACAAAATAAAGTGTGAACGCTAACCTTATTAATAATACAACTAGAATACCTGAAGGACATAATTACAATGTATGTGGCTGAAGGACATAATTACAATGTATGTGGTTAAAGAGAGGGTGGAGGTCCCACAACTGGTCACAAAAGAATGACATGATGCATACTGCTGGGAATAGGTTGCTCAGATTACCTTGCTCTGAGTATACCATTTCTATAGGACGTCTGTTACAAAGAATCTTCATACGATTTGGTAACAGATTCAGAGTCTTAGACTGACCACAAAGGAAATAAATTTCTTACTGATAAGGCTGGCTTCTAAACAACTGAATTTGAATCTGTGTGAAAGGTTATGTTGATCCTTAACATTAAAAGAGCCATTTTACTGTAGGTCTAATACCTCTTTTTTATTTTCTATCCTACATCAGTCTCTCCCCTTGAACAAGGATTTCAGTGAACAGCCTTTGATGATCACACTTCTGGGCATACTCTCCTATGCATGGATTTGTCAACTACTGCTCCCAGGTGATGGCTCAATCTTTATGGATTAAACTTTCCCCCCATGATCAGAGACTACCAGTACTCTGGCTGTCATGTATCTGGTAAATCCGCGATGTGCTGTGGTGGGATAGATGTCCTCACTTATCTGTGTGTGGGAAATTATTAGGGAATTGCCACATTGCAGAGACAACAGGACTTACTTCAAATATCTAACTCATGAGGCTTCTTTGTTTGGGGGTTGCTGAATGCTGGGTTGATATTTGTCATTCTTTCAGCATAAATGAAGCAAGGTTTTTAATTCCTATGGTAGATTCTTATTCAATATGTGTGAACAAATCAGCAGAGCAGCTGGATTATATGAAGAAGAATGCGACCTCAGGATTGGAGGAAGGCTTATTAACAACCTGTGATACGTAGATAGTACAGTCTTGCTTGCTGGCAGTGAGGAGGACTTGAGGCACTTGCTGATGAAGATAAGGATTATAGCCCTCAGTACGGATGGGAAGTATCAACGTGAAGAAGACCGAAGGCTGGACCTTGATCGAGGTAACATCATGATAGATGGTAAAAAGATTGAAGTTGCCAAAGATTTCGTCTTGCTTGGACCCACAATCAGTGCTCACGGAAGCCGCTCTGAGAGATCAAAGATACATTGCCCTGGGTAAATCGGCTGCACCTCTTTAGAGTACTGAAAAACAAGGATGTTACTTTGAGGACTCGATGCACCCAAGCCAGGGTCTTTTTCATTGCATCCTATGCATTTGAACGTTGCACACTGAATAGGAAAACTGAAGAATAGATATGTTTCAGTTAGGGTGTTGGCCACTAAAATGCATGGACTACTAAAAGGACAAACCAATGTGTCTTAGAGGAAGGGCAGCCAGAGTGCTCCTTGGAGACAAAGAATGACAAGGTTTCATCATACCTATTTTCGACAGCTTGTCAGGAGAAACCAGTCCCAGGAGAAGGACATCATGTTTGGTAAAGTGGACGGTCAGTGAAAGAGAAGGCCCTCAACAAGCTAGATTAATACCATGCCTTGCAACAATGAAATGGGCTCTGGTACACACTGGTAACAATTGTGAGGATGGCGCAGGACTGAGCAGTGTTTGTGTTGTACACAGGGTCACTATGGTTTAGAACTGACTTGACAACAGCAACAACAACAATATGGTAGATGTAAATCTATTCTCTATACCACATTCTCAGCAATCTAGGCTATTGAGGCTGATAAATTGCAAATGGAAATCTCTTAATTGTATATAGTTCATAGCCATGGCAGTGACCCACAAAAAGGAACATTCCTATCAGTCTGGTCAGCTATAGTATTCCCCTGCAGTGATAAATTTCCTTTATAAAATGAAAGAATTTAATGTTACTTGTCTATTGCAGGCTGTCAACATGAGGAACCCCTAAAATTCTTTTTTTTGAATTTTATTTTTTAATCATTTTATTGGGGGCTCATATAACCCTTATCACAATCCATACATCCATCCATTGTGTCAAGCACATTTGTACATTTGTTGCCATCATCATTCTCAAAACATTTGCTTCCTACTTGAGCCCTTGGTATCAGCTATTCATTTTTCCCCTCCCTCCCCCCTCCCCCCCCCCCTCCCTCCCCAACCCTTGATAATTTATAAATTATTATTTTGTCATATCTTATACTATCTGATGTCTCTCTCCACCCACTTTTCTGTTATCCATCCCCCAGGGAGGAGATTACATGTAGATCCTTGTAATCGGTTCTGCCTTTCTACCCCACCCTCCCTCCACCTTCCCAGAATCACCACTCTTAGTGCTGGTCCGGAGGGGTCATCTGTCCAGGATTCCTTGTGTTTCCAGTTCCTATCTGTACCAGTGTACATCTTCTGGTCCAGTCAGATTTGTAAGGTAAAATTGGGATCATGATAGTAGGGGATGGGGGGGTGGAGAGGACAGGAAGCATTTAGGAACTAGATGAAAATTGTATGTTTCATTTTTGCTACACCGTGCCCTGATTGGCTTGTCCCCTCCTTGCGATATTTCTGTACGGGGATGTCCAATTGCCTACAGCTAGGCTTTGTGTCCCCATTCCTCACTCCCCCTCATTCACAATGATATGATTTTTTGTTCTTTGGTACCTGATACCTGATCCCTTTGGCACCTCCTGATCACACAGGCTGGTGTGCTTCTTTCATGTGGGCCATGTTGCTTCTGAGCTCGATGGCCCTTGTTTTCCTTCAACTCTTTAAGACCCTAGACACTATATCTTTTGATAGCTGGGCTCCATCAGCTTTCTTCACCACATTTGCTTATACACCCATTTGTCTTAAGTGATTGTGTCTGGAAGGTGAGCATCATGGAATGGCAGTTTAATAGAACAAAGTATTCTTGCATTGAGAGCATACTTGAATGGAGGCCCAATGTCCATCTGCTACCTTCATACTAAACCTATAAATATATGCATATAGAGCTATTTCCCCATCCTCATATATAAATATATTTACATATGTACATGCTTTTAGTTAGATCTCTATAAATGCCCTTTACCTCCTAGTTCTTTCCTCTATTTCCTTTTACTTTCCTCTTGTCCCACCATCATGCTCAGCTTTCATTTGGGTTTCAGTAATTCCTCTTGGTTACATTACCCTTGATCACGCCCTACCAGGCTTGCTATACCCTCCTCACCACCGATTTTGGATCACTTGTTGTTCCCTTGTCCCTGGGTTTGTTAGCACCACTTCCTTTCCCCCCACCTTCCCCATCCTTAAAATTCTTCAGGTGCATTATCTTACCATATTCCAACCATTCGAACATGGCAAAAACCAAATGAAAGGTGACTCATTGGACTTTTTTTCTTAACTATTCCACATGAAAAGACATAACTATATGGGTCTCCCAATATACTTATCATAGTTTGAATATATTCTGGAAATGTAATGGACAGCTGTAATCCAACAAGCTAGTTTAAAGTTAGTGAATTATTACAAATGGAATATTCTCCAGGGGATCTTGGAGTCATGTACAAGTGGGGGGATTTTTATTCTTTTAATTATATGTTAGTTCAGTATATGGTACTGTGGAATACTATTGAAGATTGTTAATTTAACAATTTCCTGGGGGTGGGAAAGATAGAACATTTTAACCATACCCTGGTTGAAACAGGGAACTGATGGAAAATCGGGATAAATCTTCAAGTGGTGTTGCTGTTATTAGTTGATTTTGATTCAGTACCATTACTATGAAGCATTCTTCTTCTCATAATCCAGCTTCTCTGATGATTTTCTCAGCAAACAATTTGAGTAAGTATGGTGAGAGGATAGAACCCTGACACACACGTTCCCTGATTTTAAACCTTACAGTATTCCTTTGTTCTATTGACACAACTGTCTCTGATCCACGTACAGGTTCTGCGTGAGCACAATGAAGTGCTCTGGATTTCTCATTTGTCTTATGGCTCCCCCTTAGTTTGTTATGATCCACAGTCAAAGGTCAATAAAACACAAAGAACAAATCTTTCTGGGGCTCGCTTCTTTGCGCCAAGATCTGTCTGACATCAGCAATGATATCCCTTGTTCAAGTCCTCTTCTGAATCTGGTCCAAACCTTTGGCAGCTTCCTGTCAATGTACTGCTACAACTGTTGTTGGATGATCTTCAGCAAAATATTACTTGCATGTGATATCAATGATAATGTTCTGTAATTTGAGCATTCTCTTGTCATCTTTCTTTGAAATGGGTACAAATATGGCCAGCCATTTGGCCAAGTAACTGTCTTCCAAATTTTGTGGCATCCAGGAATAAGTGGTTTCAGCACTTTTATCAGCCTGTTGAAACACTTCAACTAGATCCCATCAATTCCGTCTTTCCTGCCTTTTAAATGACATTTTGCTTCCTTCATAAATGATGTTCTTGATGTCTTCTGACAGCTCGTTAGGTCTTTTGTCATTAGCGTTCAGTGGATCAAATCTGTTTTGGGGGTGCATCCTTTCAGTGCAGCTTGAACATCTTTCTTCAGAAAGAAATTTCTACGAATTTTTTTCATAGAAGCAGTTTCGCTTAAACCTCGGTTTTTG